GTTGCCCAAATCGCTTCGAATGGCCGCCAGAGACCGTGGTCATGAACCGAAAATCGAGGAGACCTCGATCAGACCTTCAGACATTGGCGACGCAAAAGAGACTGCGGCGGTCGGCTTTTGCACGATTTCGGTAACTTTGAGGCCGCTTCCAGGCCCCGGGGCCGCCAGAAAACCGCTCAGGATGCGAAGTGGGCCCTGAGGAAGTGGTCGAGATTCCCAGGGGCCCGTGTCACGAGAAGCATGCGGCATCGGAGGACAGGGGGAGTCCGCGGGCTGGAGAGAATCGAGGCGGCTGATGTTTCGCCCTTCTGTTCTGCACCTCCGGAGGTCGGCCTCTGGACCCAGGGCCGACGCTGCTCCCAGAAAGACACCGGTCGGACTGGGAGGATGGGGCTGGGAGGAATGATCCGATCGTGCATATTATCTCGTACGCTGCGTGGGCTGATTACACAGTCGTGCCCTCCATCTTCCCAACGCCTTCCTCCCAACACGACAGTTGCCTTTCTCTTGTTCAGGATATGGCACGCCCCGAAAAGATCGGGCCGCTGGATGTCTGCTGCGGCGCGAAGGTGACAGCGCTTCGCGCTGTGCGGCCTGGACCCGGAAGTTGTTCTTCTCGGGGGCCTCCAGGAGGGGCGGGATCTTTCCCTCGGGCCCCCCTCCCTCCTTCTCGCCTCCTCGGCGGTTCCCTGGCGTTCCGCGGCCTTTTCGTCAGACCGCGAGGCGCCGGCGCCCTCTCTGCCTTCCCGAGCGGATACCGTGGCCGGGGGCCACAGAATCTCCAAGATCTCATGGCACGCCCCTCGGCTCTCAGAACGCTCCATGGCCTACCCTCGTCCGCGCACGTGTCTCGGGCGACGAGGCGGAGGAAGGAGAACAGAGGAGGAGAAGGATGAGGGGGATGAGGAGGATGAGGGGGATGAGGAGGAGGAGGAGGAGGAGGAGGGGGATGATGATGATGGTGATGATGATGATGATGATGATGATCATGATCATGATCATGATGATGATGATGATGATGATGATGATGATGATGATGATGATGATGATGATGGAGGAGGAGGAGGAGGAGGAGGAGGAGGAGGGGAGGAGGAGGAGGAGTGATGTGGGACCCCCTCCGCTTGGGCGCCCCCCTCGTGGACGCCTCCGATCAGCCACGCGCCGAGGGGGGCGGGGGGGGAGGGGCGAGGGCTCCTTCGAAGCACCCCCGCTTCTTATAGAAGGCGCGGGCCTGATCGCTCCGGACGTCACAGACCAACACACAGAAGTTCGAGCGGCAACATTCGGCACCGCTCACATCGTCTCACACAGGAGCGTCAGAACAAGGAAATGAGAGGGCGGGAACTTCTGCGTGCTGCCGTGCCCTGCTGTGAACGGGGTCCGGGGGCCTGGAGTGCTCAGAGGTCGTTGCACAGAGGAGTCGTTGCGCTGCGCTGGTTGAGGGTCCCAGCCGTTCTCGGTGGAAAAAAGAAGGCGCGGGCCTTATCTGTAGATGTGAGGCCGTCGCCTTCTGAGAAGCAGCCTCCTCCTCCGAAGCCCTTCCCCCTCCCTCCACCCCCTTTGTGCGCGCCGCCAGTGCGATCTCCTCGAGGTGGCGGCACGAGGCCCAGAGCTGGGTGGACTGTGCGAGGTGTTTCAGGACGGGCTTCGCCTCCTTCTCCTCCTCCTCCTCCTCCTCCTCCTCCTCCTCCTCCTCCTCCTCCTCCTCCTCCTCCTCCTCCTCCTCCTCCTCCTCCTCCTCCTCCTCTCCCCCCCTCCTCCTCCTCCACCTCCTCCTCCTCCTTCGAGAAAGAGAGATCGAGGGTGTTGACAGATCCCCCCCGGCGGAGCGGCGAAAGCAATAAAAAAGAGTGCCCCCCGAGCCGAGGAGACGCAAGCATAGATCAGGGCGCGGTCCGTCGCCAAGGCAGGCGGCCCCATTGCCGCAGTCCGCGGAGCTGGCACCCCCCACGCGCCAGATGCGCGGATCCGTAAGCCATGCCGGCGCGTGCCCGAGAAAGCTGTCGTGTCGGTGGTGACCACGAGTTCCCGAAATCACTTGGCGCAATCGCAGGGCCAGGTCGCGGGTGCTGCCAGGGGTGGCCGAGGTCCCAAGAGGGCCCCAGCTTTCCCAGGGAGGCACAGATGGCTTCCAGAGGACCCCTCACGAGGCCCAGTGGGCCCCAGAGGCTCCAGGATGGCGCGAAGAGCTTGGAGCACCTTGAGCTAGGACCACTTTCCCTGAGATCCGACGCTGCGAACAAGTGCATCGAGGAAAAATCACGGCCGGAGCCCTAGACCCCGTGTTTCTGAAACATTTTTCGAGCCGGATCAATAATCATGCGATGGCACCGGGTCCTGAAACCAAGCGCAAACGCACGTGTGGGAAAATTGCATGGGGCTGCTTCTGAGAGGAGGAGGAGGAGGAGGAGGAGGAGGAGGAGGAGGAGGAGGAGGAGGAGGAGGAGGATGAGGGATGAGGGATGAGGGGCAGGAGGAGGAGGGGGAGGAGGGGGAGGAGGAGGAGGAGGAGGAGGAGGAGGAGGAGGAGGAGGAGGAGGAGGAGAGAGGAGGAGGAGGAGGAGGAGGAGGAGGAGGGAGGGTGGCAGGACGGGCCCCCCGCCCAGGTCCTACGAGCCCTTCGGCGGCGTCTACGCGCGCGACTACGCGATGCGCGGGCGGCGGGCGCGGGAGCCGGGCCCGCAGAACCTCCTGTGGATACCGGCCCTCTGGGTCGCCCTCTGGCGCCTCCTGGACGGGGCGGGGGTTGGAGTCGGCCAGGGGCCTGAGGTGACCCAGCATGGGTCCCGGCCAGCAGTGTCGACTACACGCAAGAGTGACCCTTCGCCGGAGTGACCTCTGGTGCGGGCTCATCGGGCTCCCCCTGATCGCCGAGCCCGATGCGATATGAGCGGCCCACGCCATTGGGTTTGGCTCCCTCGCGCCCCCAAAAGCTGCGCACCAAAGGTCACTCTTACCCAGGGTCACTCTTACGTCTGTCTAGCCGAAGCAGGAAGCGGGGGCAGGTTCGAGGTGCTGGGTTCGACGATGTGGTAACTTTTTCGTCGATCTCCGACGGCCTTTCGGGGGGAAAGGCCGCACCAGATGGACCCCAGGAGGATTCTGGGGACCGATTTTGAGCGGATTCGCCTCCGTCCCCCCCCCTCTTGCCCGATTTTCTGTGCCCCAACCAACTCAGACCCCCTGGCCGCCTCCAAGGCAGGGGGACTTTCAGTCAGTCCCTGACATGCTCTCGTTGTGAGAAATGGGCAACCAACAGAAAAAGCACGGAGGATCCTTGCCAACGTTCAGCCTCCGGGGGCCCTCGCCGAGCCCTGGGGCCGTCCAAAAGCGAGGCAGGATGAAGAGCAGGTCCCGGGCAAGGGGTCCAGACCTCGAGGCACGCTGCGAGCAAAAAACACGATGGAGGACGTCTGGGGTGGCAGGGAAGGCCCGAGCAGCGCTCCCCCCGCAAGACACCGCCGAAAAAGGCGCCGGTGTTGTCTGTCTCGGCCTCCTCGGGGGCCGCAGCTCGACCCTCAGGCCCAGGCGGCACAGGAGACGATCGCGACGGCGGGCTGCGCGTCGTTCCCGGCATCACGGAAGCGGCCTCCCGCCCTGCAGATCCAGGCGGCGCAAAGCATCAGATCAGGACGGTCGGCTGTGGAACGAGTTCGGCCTCTGGGGGCCGTCTCCCGGTCCTGGCGGGGCCATGGAAAAATGGGTGGGGGATGGAGAGTTCGCCCTGGGGACGGGGTCGAGATCCCCAGGGGCCCTTTGCCACGGAAGAGGGCGCGTCGTCGGAGGAGGGAGCTCGAGGAGAGTCGCGGCGTGGAGGACAGTGCACATATTATGGGTTGCGCAGGGGGCTGCGCTCTGACTTCGCAGAGTCCGGACCAAGCGTATGCGAGGAGGAGCGGGGAGGGCCCAGCCAGGAAGTGTAGCAGACGTTTGGAGGACACAGGCGCGACAGAACGCAGTGGTTTGAACATTGGACACATGGCGATTGAGGTTCGAGAACGACATTGGTGTTGACAATGACAATGGCAGTGTTGACCCTTGAGCGCGTTCCCTCAATTTAGTGCGCTCATGTCCACGCGCGAGGGTTTGGGTTTCGCCGTTCATGTGTCGCTTGCATACCCCTGGCGCCCGGTCTCGCATTTATACGCCTCTCCGTTGGGGCAACGGTGTCGTTGACTTGGCATTATGCTAGCGATACTTGCTCTGCTCGTCCTCCCGTGTTCGAATATTTTCGACCGACCTATCCGACTACCAACAGGTGCCTGCTGACAATCTTCGCTTGGGCGTGACGATTCCTGCGACTATGCGAGGCATCCCCTCGCGAGTGCCACAGACTCTACAGAAAAAGGCCTAAAGCAGGATGCGGGACGACGAAACGACGGCGGCGAACACGATGAGGTGAGCGAGACACGTTTCCGTCAGAATGCCAGGTCTGGTGTTCTAATCGGGCTTCACTGCTGCTTCGCTCTCTCTCTCTCTCTCGCAAAAGACGGGCGCAGCCAGGCTCTCGTGGAGAGTGGCTGGCAACTGGACCACGGCGCTGGTGATGCTGAACGTTGCGTCGTTCGTGGCCCAGTGCTACTGGCCAGACTGGGAGGAGGACCCGAGGGCGAAAACGCCCGCGCGGGCAGCGGAGGCCGTGCCAGAGGTAGCCCCGTGGGGCACAGGGAGCGGGGCGATCCCTCGGGCAGGGCCCGCCGGTCTGCCCGGTCGAGGGGGGGCCATGGCGAGGCCCGGGCATGGGCCGATGCCGGGGCCGTGCGTCGGCTGATGGAGAGCCCGCTGCAGGGGGGGAGGAGGAGGAGGAGGAGGAGGAGGAGGAGGAGGAGGAGGAGGAGGAGGAGGAGGAGGAGGAGGAGGAGGAGGAGGAGGAGGAGGAGGAGGAGGAGGAGGAGGGAGGAGGAGGAGAGGAGGAGGGGGGAGAGGGCGCGGGCTCCCCCGCCGGAAGTTTTCGCGGAAGTGGTGCGCCTCGAGCGACGGAAGCACGGTCTCCGCTGCCCCCCCCCCCCCCCCCAAAAAAAACACCCCCGAGGTGTCAGCGCGAGTGCTGCAGGCTGATCCGAAGGCTGTCATATTCGACTCCCCACCTCGGATCGAGCCGAAGTCCGCAAATGGGCATCGTCCTGTCCTTGGCCCACCGCTGTTACTACTGCCGTCCTCCACCGCCTTCCTCCACGGACTGCGACGGCGGTGCTTCTCCGAGGGATCGTCGTCAACTTACGCGTTTCTGTGAGCTGCCGTCGCTCGCCAGGGCGATGCCGAGAGTCTCAAAAATTGGACAAGATGTCGGGCGAGTTTTCGGTGTGTTCTTGCCCCTCTGGGCTGCAAGTCCATGCTGCTGACCTCCCTCTGACCTGGAGAGGACGGGGTGCTGACAGCCGACACGCTGGCAGCTCCGGGGACTAGCCAGCGGCTGATCTGCAACTCCTTCTTGCACTCCGGTTGGTGGCACCTCGGGGCCAACATGTACAGTTTGTGGCTCTTCGGCCGCATGGTCGAGCCTTCCTACGGGTCAAGGCCTCAGCAGGGTAGGATCGATCGTTGGCGGCCGAGAATATTGTTCTGTCTGCACATCGGGCAGTAACACATCGGTTTGGGATGCGCCAGGTCCCTTCAGGCCACGCGACGCAGTCTTGCAATTGGTTACGAAAAGCATCGTTGGAAATGGCATCGTTGCAAGACGTCTACGTGGATGGTAATAGACAGCACCACCGTGCAATGAAGTGACGGCTACGATGCGAAGCCAGTGGTATGAATTACTCGACGCGGAGACCCCCATATGTGCATCTCATAGTGATGGCATGCTTCGGTAGGAGGCATTGCCCCTTCCAATATCTGAGTGTCAGCGAATTCATGTGGAAGACGAAGCCGAGAGAGACGCCGACGACTCCGACGATTTTAACTAGTTGCGTCCTCCTTCTTTCCTCCTCCTCCTCCTCCTCCTCCTTGTCCTCCTCCTCCTCTTTCTCCTTCTTTTCCTCTGAACACCTGTCAGGGCACCTGCTCCGAAAGAGAAGGATGTTGGGCACCGAAACAGGCAAACCGCTTGAGACATCCCCCCAATCTGGGCGCGAACGGGCCCGCGATATACCCCTGGCGGCCCCCCTTGGGAGTGCTGGAACCAGCCCCTCGCCGGAGACATCCTCGGAAACTGCTCCGAAAGAGAAGGATGTTGGGCACCGAAACAAGCAAACCGCCTGAGACATCCCCCCAATCTGGGCGCGAACGGGCCCGTGATAAACCCCCTGGCGCCCCCCTCTTAGGAGTGCTGAAACCTGCACCTCGCCTGAGACATCCTCGGAAACTGCTCCGAAAGAGAAGGATGTTGGGCACCGAAACAAGCAAACCGCCTGAGACATTCCCCCCAATCTGGGCGCGAACGGGCCCGTGATAAACCCCCTGGCGCCCCCCCTTGGGAGTGCTGAAACCAGCCCCTCGCCTGAGACATCCGCACAACGTGTGTGTGTGTGTGTGAGTCTGAGCGCGGAAGTACCATGAGTGTGAGTGAGTCTTCATATGAGTGATCTTGAGCATGAGAAACCTTAGTATCAGGAATCTAAGAGCAAGTGCATATGAGTATGAGTGAGCCTACATGTGAGTGAGTCAGAGAATGATGACCTGAGGGTGGGAGGTGTGTGTGTGTGTTGTGTTATCTCTCGCGTTCCGCGCGGCCTTAATAATAACAAGAACCACATCCTTAGGACTATGTGGAAAATGAGATGCATTGATTGGGCACCCTGTGGCAAGTCCTTCTGCAGATGCCTATGTTGCATAGGGCATAGGCTGTCCTTGTGGCTCCATCGCCAACAATACGGCCGCTTCTAGAAAAGAAGAAGTGCATTGTCCCGTTTCCGTGGTACTCGTGTCAGAGCGCTCGCCGTCGACAGGTGTTGGTGTGTCGTGGCGGGGGAATCGTGCACGCACGTGGAACGGTGCATACATAGGACAGCTCGGGCGTGAACCGAAGCAGAGTCAGAAAGGAAGCGCAGGTGTGCCCAAAAAGCGGGCCAGCCCCCTACCAGGTGGTGGGAAGCGGTTCGGCGTGTCCATCTGAGCATTCGCCAAAAGGCCGTCATGTTCTTGGTTATCTCGCTCTCCCTCTCCCCATCTGTCTCTCTGATCCTCTCTCACTCTATCTCTCTCTCCCTCTTCCTGTTTATCGTTCTGTATATGTACACTCTTACATAGTACATCTCAAGTCTGCGTAGTGCGGACGTCGCTGCGTTTCGCAGGAGCCACGCCGCAGCGCTCGGCAGTACGCAGCCAAAGGAGGCGCGCCGATCTCGACAGCGTGGCAGCCTCTATGTTCTCCATGGCTGGGACACTTCGGATAGGAAACTCGTACAGTCGGGGCCCTGAAGAAGGAACCCTCTTCGTTGGGGAGGGGCTCCGCGTTCCTTCATTGTTTTACAGTTTACCCCGGATTTTCCTTAGGTTTTCGAAGGGAAATCGAAGTTCAACTTCTGGAGAAAAGGGGCCTCGTTCCTCATTTAGGGTTCCTTAGGTCAACGCCCCAACTGTACAACGGCAGGTTCCCGTCGTGTCGATCGGCGGCGACCCCGCCGCCCGGCGGTCCACGCTGCACGCCGCTGGCGACCCAGACTTGGTCGATGCTGCAAGACCTGACGGGCTCGGAAGCGGTCGACCGTTCGAGGTTGAGCGATCCGCGGTGCCAGAAACCAGCGCCGAGAACGGCACGACACGCGATGAGCTTGTGTTCCACCACCACCACCATCAGTTGGAGGGGGGAAGGAGGAGGAGGAGGAGGAGGAGGAGGAGGAGGAGGCGAAGGAGGAGGAGGAGGAGGAGGAGGAGGAGGAGGAGGAGGAGGAGGACCCCCCCGTCCAACTTATGGTGGTGGTGGTGGTGGAAAACACGCCCATCAACACGAACCTGCCGCAGGATGCTGCGCGCGAACAGGCGACCGCACCTGCGCTGGAGGGGCCGAGGGCCTCCGTCCCGCGCCTGCCGGCACGGGCTCGGCCCGGATTCCGCCTCCGCTCGTCGCGGACGGTTCGGGACCGTGGCGCACGGTGGCGACGTGTGCTTCTAGGCGAACAAAGAGTGAGAAATCCCCGAGGACCTCCGAGTTTGTATGTTTATGCCATGTTTTGCTCCCCCAGCTTAGCGTGTCGCGCCGTCAGTTCTGGCCCACCACGCTGCGGCCCGACACGCCAGCCGCGACCCCGCCCCCGAGCGTCAGCGTCCCGAGCCTCTTCCCAGCACGTGGAGCGGAGCGGCACGCCATCCGCCTGCAGGGGCGGAGCGGAGGCGGCTCGCGTCGTGTCGGCGCGGCGGCGACGCCGCCGCGGGCGTTCCAGGTTGAACGCCGCCAGAGGCCCAGCGTCGGCCCGTGTGGAGCGATCCAGCGATCGAAGAGCTGCCGATGCTCCAGGGCCAGGCGATCCACGCGGTGCCCGCAAGCACCGCCGGGGCCGTCACGACGCGAACTCGCCGCAGCAGGGCGCCTCTGCCCCAGCTGCTGGGCCCAGCAGCGCGGAGCGCTGGTGACCACGGGTCGCGCCCCCAAGCCGGGGGGCCCAGGCACGAAGCGGAAGGACGGCAAGCAGCTCGCTCGCGCCCCGCTCGCTCCGCGCTCTCGGCCGCGCTTCTGGCGGGGGCCTGGCCCTCGCCGGCCTCCTCGTTCCCGGCCGAGGCTGGGGCGGCGCAGTGTTCCTTGGCTTGGAGCAGAAAACCAACGGCACCACCCCACCGACGGCCCCACGGGCCGCGGCGTATACCAGGACGTCTGGCGTGGGTGTTTGCATGGTGTACGCTGCGGCCCCCCGGTGGGCCGTGGCGCCACATGGAAGGCCGCAGGTGGGGTGGTGTCGTTTGATCTTTGGCCGATTGTTGGGAGCCAGCTGCGGGGGCTGCCTCGAGTCCGGCCCGCTTCGGGGTGCCTGCAGGCCTCGCGGTGTCGTCTTGTGAGCTTCGCGCTCGCCAGGCCCAGGCTGGGCGAGCCCTGGCGCAGCGCAAGGCACGGCGCTCGTCCCTGCCGTGCGCGTCCATCTGCGACGCTGACCTCCCGCGCAGTGGCGCGGCGAGTCGGTGGAGAGGACCGTGGCGCGCTCGGCCGAGCGCGAGGAGGAGGGGGATTCAGGTCTCCGACGACTTTGTTTCTGTTCAGCCCTGGCGTTATTCCTCAAAATGCGTCCTTCGGGGGCCGTTTTCGGGTCACGGCACAGTCAGATATGGATGCGGGGCGAAAATGTGCCCTCAACTCTGGGGCCACGCAATGAAAATGTCATGTCGAAGAAGGTTTTGGGTCGTGTATATAGCAGGCATTCCAAATTTGGCCAGAGTAGATTTGGAGCCGGTTGGAAGGCGGAGATTGCACAGCATTGGTTCCAGCCGGCAGAAGGAGGTAGGAGAAAGAGGCCCCCTCGTCGCCACGTCTGGACGCGGCTCAAAAACCCTGCCAGTTTCGAGCTCGTGAGGGGTCCAGGGACCGATCTTGAGCGGGCTTGCCCTCGCCCCCCTCTCTTGACCGATCTTCTAGGAGCCCATCCGGCGCAGACCCCCAGCGGCTTCCAAGAGCAGGTGGGGTCGGAGAAGCGCGCCGCGTCGCCAATGCACCAGGGATGCGGTGCGATCGGAAGTTCAATTTCCTCCGTCCCTCATAAACATAAGCTTTCGACGCTCCGCGCGGATTTCTCGGAGCTGCGCTGAAGCCCCCTGGGCGGAACGTCGAAGGGTTATGTTTTCTGCCGTGCTGTGCTCCTCCGGCCCCGACGTCGCCGAGACGCATCAGCGCTGCATCGGGGATGCCGTGCAATCTTCAGGCCCCACTTTTCCCAGGAGGGGGAAAAACACACACAGGGAATCGCCGATTCCCGAGAAGATATGGGAAGATATGGGAAGTGGGGGGGGGGGGGGGAAGGCAGAAACCCAGAAAGGATGGGAAAAGAGATGGGGGGTCTTTTTATCTGTGTGTATTCATTTTTTGTGTGCCCCAGGGCCCCTTCAGTTGTTTCCGGGCGGCGGCAAGCCCAGGGGATCGGGATGCCAGGCTCAAGGAGTGCCCAGGACCGAGCGGCCCACGACGAGCCAGCGGGCCCCCTCCTCTCACCCAGGGCCCCACGCGGGAGGCCTCCGCGGGGGCCCCGACGCCCGGCGCTGCGGCTGCTCTCCACGTGCGCGGCCCCCCGAGGCGCGCCCGCGGAGGCCCTCCCCGGAAGAGGTCGTGCCCGCCTTTGGGCCCCGGAAGCGGCCCGCGAAGGCCGAGATCGGGGGAGAGCGCCGGGATTGAAGAGTCAGGTCGGCGGAGATCTCCTCCTCCTCCTCCTCCTCCTCCTCCTCCCCTCCTCCTCCTCGTCCTCCTCCTCCCCGCCTCCTCCGCCTCCTCCTCCTCCTCCTCCTCCTCCTCCTCATCCTCCTCCTCCTCCTCCTCCTCCTCTCCTCTCCTCCTCCTCCTCCTCACTACTCCCTCCCTTCTCCCTCCCTGTTCCTCCCTCCCTTCCCGTCTTCCCCCTCCCTCATCTTCCTCCTCCCTCCTCCTCCCTTCATCTTCTTCTTATTATTATTATTTTTATTATTATTATTCCTCCTCATCCTCCTCGTCCTTCTCCTCCTCCTCCTCCTCCTCCTTCCTCCTCCTCCTCCTCGTCCTCCTCCTCCTCCCCCCTCTTTCACTCCTGTGAAGGCGGTAATCCTGGTAATCCTCCCCCCCGTCCTTTTCCTCTCCTCCTTCTTGTTCTCCCTCCTCCTGCAACTCCCTCCTCCCCTCTACCCTCCCGCTCTTCCTTCTCCTCCTTCCCCTCCTCAACCATTGCTCCGTTCCCCCTCCCGCGCGGTCACTCTGTCGCCACGGGGGTTGGGGTGGGGGATAGGAGTAGGATGGAGGAGCGGGGGCATTTGTTTTCCAACGAGGGAACGCGACTACCGCGACAGCGCGGGCCAAAATGGTCGCCGATGAATCTGGATTCGCCGCGCTGGCTGGCCCGAAACAGGCAAGAACTCGTGCGGCCAACCGCGGCTCGAGAAGCCGCGGATGTAAGGGTCGCCCTATGAGAGGGGGCCCAAAGCCCGAAATCGGCACCCAAAGAGGCAAAACAGAACAGACAAATTTCGGGCGCGGCATTTCCGTGTCTGCTGGTCTGGGCCTCCTCCGTTGGTCGACCCGCCCCATCCCGGCTTGTGCCGCGTCCGTCTTCGATGTCGTCTGTCCAGGAGGAGGAGGGAGGAGGAGGAGGAGGAGGAGCAGGAGCAGGAGGAGAAGGAGGAGAAGCAGAAGGAGGAAGAAGAAGAGGAGGAGCGTGACGAGGTGGGGGAGGGAGGGACGACGAAGGAGGCGCGAGGAGACGACCGCGACGCCGAGATCCGAGCGCGCCGAGCCGAGGCCCAGCCGCTTCCTCTGGCTCTTCCTGGGCAGCTCGCTGGCGGCCTCGCTGTCCGGCCTGTGGGCGAAGCGCTGGCGCTGGGGCAGGCGGGCGGGACAGTAGATGGACAATATATTCGAACCCTTTCACATTCGAGGGAGATTCTAAATCACCCCCGCGCCCCCGACAATGTTGATCTCAGTAAAGGCGGTTCTTTGGGGTTCGAATATTTCTGTCCACTCACCCCCCCCCGTCGCCACGCCATCAATATTAATTTCGGGGGGTCTGGGGGGGCATCTTGGGCCAAAGGGTTCGAATGTAATGTCCATGTACGGGACCCCCACTGTGGCGGCTGGTCGGGCCGAACGGAAGGGGGGGGGATAGGGAAAGGGGGGGGGTACAAAATCTGCTGCACGCAGCTGGTTTCGGCCCCGCCGCCAGGCCCATTCCTCGGTACGTGGGCGCCGGGAGGCGCCGGGAAGATCAGTTGCGTGAGCTGGTTCTCTCTGGACGCCCGAAATGGGTACCGAAAGAATGGGTACGATGCCCAACAGCAGTTCCTGTTCATTCTGAACAGGACTCGCTGTCCACGCCGCCGCGGCCTGTGTCCATTCGAGACAGAAGGCCGCCTGACCAACAGCGGCCGCTGTTGAGTTGGGACAACATTTGTTGTTGGGCATTGTACCCATTCTTTCGGTACCCATTTCGGGTGTCCAAAACCCTACCCGTTGCTATCCCCCCCCTTTCGTTCCCCCCGAGCTGGGGCGGTGAGCGGCGGGGCGGGGCGAGGCGCGGCGGGGGCCGGCGGGGAAGGCCGCGAGCTCGAGGCGGGGATTCGTGCACGAGCACCGCCTGGAGGATCGATGTCCGCGGACCTCCGAAGGCGGCGGACAACTACGGACAAGTATTATTATTAGTATTATCATTATCATTAGTAGTAGTAGTAGTAGTATTATTATGTATTATTATTGGTATTATTATTGGTATTATTATTACTACTATTATTAGTAGTATTATTATTAGTATTAGTATTAATAGTATTACTATTATTATTATAAACTGTGTTGGCCCCCGGGGGGGCCAAACATGTCCATATCCACGCTGACCGCTGGGTCCCCAGGACGTCAGTTCCCAGGCGGTGGATATGGATAGATCCCCGCCTCGCAACGATCCTCGATGCTGTGAGGTCACCGCTGGGTTTGCTACGTCAGGGGATAATGGGGGGATTAGAAGCGGATGCGAAGGCGGGTTAGATCTGGCCGAACTTGGCTTACACGCAAGTGTCATGTGCCCCAGGTATGTTCGGGGGGGTCGATGAATACGCTAAGTGAGCGGAGCCAACATAGCCCAGATTGTTAACCCACTACACCACTTAGGGAATAGTTGCCCCATTTATCAGCAACATTAGACCAGACATAACCCACCTTAGCATCCGCTTCTAAGCCCATGTACCCGTAGCAACCCTCGTAGTCATCTCAGCTCCTCCTCTTCCCCAGACCCCCTCACGTCGTGGAAGGAACACGACGTGAGGTTTTTGGTTATCTTTGGCCTCCGAGGGCCCTCGCCGGGCCCCGAGACCGTCCGAAAAGGACTCAGGATGGAAAGCCAGTCCAGCTGAATGCTGGGTCGAAACCTCCAGGTGTCCGCGTCCAGAACAAAAACACGACGTCGGGGTCCGGGTCCAGCATGCGGTCAGGAATGTCTGCTTAGCGTGTCGCGCCGCTAGTTCTGGCCGCCACGCTTCGGCGCGACGCGCTAACCGCGTCCCAGTCCCCAAGCAGCTTCAACGTCTCGAGCTTTTTCCAGCCTCCCGCCTCACGGAACGGAGCGACACGCTGTCGGGTTGCAAGGCATACCGGGACTCTGGGGCCGCGGCCGCGACGCGCTCAGCCAAAGCTCCCGGTCGTAACAGGGGTCGGCCAATCGGAAGGGTGTTTGAAGAGGATATCTGAAGTTCATGTTTTCGTGGCTCGGGCAGACTCAGCGAAGCTGCCCGGCGACCCTGCTCGCTGAGCGGTCTGAGCCACCATAGTTGAGGGCTGCACTGCCTGCTGTCAGTTCCCAAAGCGTTGCGCCTCAAGCCTCCGTTGGTTCCCAGGCGTTGCGCTGCAGCTGCCCCTGGCTTTTGGGAGCCGCGAACACCCCGGCACACCTCCTCCTCTTTTCGGGCCGGACGAAAGGGGGGGATTGCGAAAGGGGGGTTACGAAATCTGCTGCATGCAGCTGGTTTCGGCCCCACCGAGGGGCCCATCCCTCGATACATGGGCGCCTCCCAGCGCCGGGAGGCGCCGGGAAAGTCAGCTGCGTGAGCTGATTCTCAAACCCCCCCTTTTGCTATCCCCCCCTTGCGCCCGGCCCGATTTTGGGAGCCGCGAGGACCCCGGCACCCCTCGTGGCAGACACGGCGAGAGGCAGACACGGCGAGAGGCGTTCGTCATCGTGCGGCCTCCGGAGGGCCTCCGCGCGGGGCGCACACCCCCGACCTGCTCTCGCTGCGGAAAGCTCACGACGGCGGGCTTGTCCCTCTACAGGAGGAATATTAAAAATAGTCAAAAAATAGTCTGGGGATTATTTTTGGAGTATTTCTTGGTATCTTTTGAACATGTTTTGAATATTTTTTATCATTTTTCATCCAAAATCCCCCTGTTTGGGGGACACGCCCGACTTAAGGAAAGCTCACGGCGGCGGGCTTGTGCTCATTTTCGGCCTCCGAGGGGGCCCTGGCGCCGGGCCCATCGAGTGTCGAGAGAGTGCTCGGGATGAGAGGCCCGTGCCCGGGAAGGGGTCCAGAGCCACGCTGCGAGAAAAGCACGATGTCGGACACCTGGGCCTCCCTCGGCTGACCCCGGCCTGGAGCCTCGAGGCGGCCGGCCATGGTTCGCGATGTTAGGGGGCCTCATGCGAACCCTACCCCTACCCACCACGATTTCTCAGGGGGAGGTGGGGTTCACTTCGCTTGGGAGCTCCTGGACGAAGAGAACCCCACCCTCCCCCTCAGAACTCGTGGGGGGTAGAGGTAGGGTTCGCATGTGGCCCCCTAGATGGGGCGTTGGCAGGGGTGGCGGGACAGAGGCTTGGGTCGAGCTCTGGGGGCACGGAGTCCGAGCGTCTTCTCGAGGAGTTTGGGTCAGTCCTACCAGGTGTTGTTGATTATCTAGTGGGCTTCGCCACATCCCGCTACCGTGCATGGGTGGTGGGTCAGAGGCCTCATGGATGTTGGCTGCGATCTCGCGGTTGCCCTCTCGGGGGCCTCTTGGAGACAGTTTTGAAGCTTCTTCGGGCCTTTTTGGAGCCTCTTGGGGTCTATCAGGGGCCTCTTGGGGGCCTCTTGGGGGCTTCGTGGGGGCCTCCCTAGTGATACTGGGCGGCCTCTTGAGAGCCTCCCTGGTGATGCTGGGCGCTCTTGGAGCCTCTTGGGGCCTCCTGGGGGCCTCTTGGGGCGGAAGGCTACAATTTCAGGTTCTTGGGCTCATTTTGCGGCTGTATTAGGGCCATCTGGAGCCGTTTTGGGGCCATCTTGGGGGCCTCCTCGGCCGTCTCGGGGCGGTATTGGGGGTCTGTTGGGCCGTCTTGGAGTGTCGGAAGCCCGAAAAGGCGAGAAGGCCCAAACCCGACGATTTGGGCCTCTTGGGGCCCTCTTGGGAGGCCGCTCCGAGGCCTCTTCTGGCGTATTGGCGCCCTCTTGGGCCGGCTTAGGGCCGTCTTGGGCGTCTTGGGGCGATCTCTCGGCGTCTCAGGGCTCTCGTGAACCGTCTTGGGAGCCTCTTGAAGCCCTCCTGGCCCGTCCTGGGGCCCTCTGGGGCCCGAAAAAATCACGCGACGAGACGCTGGGAACCCTACGGGAGCACGCGGGAAGGCCCGGGAGATTTGAGGAGTTTGGGGCCCGGGCCCCTTACAACGACTCCTCAGGACTGAGTGCGGAGGCTCAGGGGATTGGGCAAAGGACCTGAGGACACGCCCACGCCGTGGCGGTTAGGCAGGGGATGTTCGGTAACGGTTTTTGGGGGGGTATCCATTTCCAGCGCGTGCTTGCGTGGACCAGCAAAGCACCCAGGCGAACGGCGCACAGCGCGCAAGCACAGGCAGACAGATTCTACTTCGACCAGTATCTCCGCGACGTTGCCTCCCAAGACTTTGCACAGAGAGTTGCAGATCCTTGGCGATTCGCGTATTTCCACCAGCCCATCCAGCAACGATGCGCAGACGAGATGCATTGATCAGGGAAGTGTGAGAGCATGCAGTGAAACAAGGGGGAGGGGGACAGCCGTCAAAACGATCGGATCAGCCTGAGCACGCCCATTAGTCAACCATAAATGCCTTCGCGGACCTGTCGATATCGGAGCTTCTTGGCAGCTTACTTGGCAATCTGGGGACATCTTGGAGGCCTGTGGGGCCCTCTTGGAGCCCTCGTGGACCCCTCTTGGGGACATTGGGTGGCTCTTGCAGCCATCTTGAGGGCCATCGACCAAAGGGGGGGTTCTCAGTTACGGTTCCCCCGTCGGATGCCGAATAACGGGCTCTGAGTGCCTTCTTGGGGCACTGTCGGGCGATCTTGTAATTGTCGTGGGCCCATCTTGAGACTTTCTTGGGCCATCTTGGAGCCATCTTGAGGCCTCGAGAGTCCATCTGAAGCAAAAGGCGAGAAGACAAAACAACAGTGAGACTCCTTCGCTAGTGGAAGTACGCTCGCTTCTCGGAAGGGTCTTTGGCAGGCTCCGTGGCTTCGAGGTGCTGTCTTGGGACGGTCATGACGCCTGTTGGAGGCATGTTGGAAGCTGTAGTGTGCCATCACGGGCTGCCTTGTGTGATCTTGGAGGCTATCTTGAGCTGTATCGGACCCGCTTGGGGCCACATTCAGCCGCTTTGGACGCTCGAACGCCTCGCGACCAGGCATGTCCAGACCCAGGGAGGGGGGGCGGGGGAGAGGTAAACCCCTCCCCGAAGGGGAAGAAGGAGATTGGAAGAACTAACTCGTTAAGCCACCTACGCCCAGGGCTGGCGGGATTCGTGCTGGTGCTCAGCCTCGCAGGCCAAGGAAACACACTGAACAGACCCCATGCTGAGACAATCCATGGTTGCCTAAGCCCGGGGCCACAGGTAGGGATGGAGGCAACCCGATGATTGTGGATGAAGTTGCAAATGCTACGCAACGCGCACTTGTATGTGGAAGAATGCGCGCAGATCTTCCTTTCTGGGTGGACGCATCCCGTTTGCAACCGTGGACCCAGACAAGAAGCGTCTCACGACACAGCGCGGTGTGATACGATACACATCTCGGACGCTGCCCGTGCGAGGCGTGGATGCCTTGCACAGAGGCGAGGCACACACGCGCATCAGTGAAGAGCTTGCCGCCAGGTTCGGAGCTGAGATCGGGACCACGCTCCGCAGGAAGGCGAGGCGGGCGCTGCCCGGCAAGAGTTCCGCCTGCGGGCACAGCAGGCGGAGCGCCAGAGCGCCCACCTGGGCGCATTGGCACAGGGCCTACAGTCGGGACCTTGAAGAAGGAACCCTTTTCGTTGGGGAGGGGCTCCGCGTTCCTTAAGTGTTTCACAGCTTGCCTCAGGCTTTCCTTATGTTTTCGACAGGAAATCGAAGGTTAACGTATGGAAAAAAGGGGCCTCGTTCCTTATTTAGGGTTCCTTAGGTCAACGCCCCGACTGTAGGCTGCGAGAGCGCGGGGCGGCTGGCACACGCGCTGGGCCGACGCTTTACGACATAGTGTTTCCAACGGCCCAGCGCAAGGCCACGGGTGCAGGGGGGGGAGGGGGAGGGGGAGGAGGAGGAAGAGAAGGAGGAGGAGGAGGAGGAGGGGGAGGAGGAAGAGGAGGAGGAGGAGGAAGAAGAGGAGGAGGAGTAGGAGGAGGAGGAGAAGTGTTTCGGTTTTCCTGACACCTCCATCGGTTGTACGGTCGGGGCATGTTGCTCAGCGCGTCGCGGCGGCGGACAGCAGCTGGACAGGGTGTCGCTCCGCTCCGCGCGGCGGCAGGCTGGGGAAGGCTCGGGGCGCTGACGCTTGGGCGAACGCGTAGGTAATCATGAGCAAGAGTGCTCTCGGCCTGCCGATGTCGCCACCCTCAGTGATGGCGACCCTGCCCTCCGACGTCCCAATTGTTTTGTGACACGGACCCCCGGGGTTCTCGACCCCTTTTTTGGAGCGGGCGTTTCATCCTGAGTTGCTTTTTGACGGCCCCTGTTCGGAAAACGTCCTCCAGATGCCGAAAACGTCCAAAGGTTGGCCGTAACGTTTTTGTCTGCGTCGTCTGGATATTAGGGGACAACGAGATCGTCGCAATGACGGATTTGCCGTGGGCAGTACGGTTATGCGGGTACCCCTACGTCATCCCTTTCAGGGTAGGGCGAGCTCCGCCCGGAGCGTGGTGCGCTGCGCGTGCAACAGTGCTGCTAGCGAGGAGTCTTGAAGAGTCTTGATCGTCCCTCTTCCTTCCTGCTCTTCCTCCTCCTTTTCTTCCTCCTCCTCCCCCATCCGTCTTCCTTATACATACCTCCTCCCTGTCGCACCATCTGAGGTATTGTTACGACGGGCCTGGGCTTTTCGCCTGAGACGTCCTCAGCGCCTACGCTTCTGAAGATTGGCACTTCCGACAGATACACGGATGGATGAAGGACCGTTCTCAAAATAGAGTTCCCGCAGCGGCGCCGCGCGCACTCGTCGTAACAAAAACCTGCACCGATGGAGGGCCGGCCGTTTTCAGAACGAGGCTCTTGGCTTGGCGCCATGCACGCCCTTCTCAACAAGAACAGACGCGCACATGGACGGCGGGCGACTCGCTGTCAGAACGTGGCTCTCGCAGGAGACTTCCACAACGGAGCCCTGCTCGAAGTTCAGAGGTGTGCAGCAGCTGCACGCGACCGAGGGCGCTGCCTCTCCAGCACGGGGCTCTCGCCTGAGGCCTCCTTACAGCCCACGGCCACACGCCTGAACACGCGCAGCCGCTGCATGGATCGAAGGCGGTTCCCTCTCAAGGCAGGTGTGTCGTTGGCCAGTTCCTTCTAGGGGGCCAGATGTGAACCCTACCCCATACCCCCCACGAGTTCTAAGGGGGAAGGGTGGGGTTCACTTCGTTCGGGAGCTCCCGAGCGAAGTGAACCCCACCCTCCCCTTCAGAAATCTAGGGGGCAGGGGTAGGGTTCGCATGTGGCCTTCTAACATCGCGAACCATGGCCGGCCGCCTCGCAGCTCCAGGCCGGGGTCCGCCGAGGGAGGCCCGGGTGTCCGACATCGTGCCTTTCTCGCAGCGTGGCTCTGGACCCCTTCCCGGGCACGGCCCTCTCATCCCGAGCACTCTCTCGACGCTCGAGGGGCGCGGCGCCAGGGCCCCCCGGAGGCCGAAAGTGAGCACAAGCCCGCCGTCGTGAGCTTTCCTTCAGTCGGGCGGGTCGTTGGCCAGTTCCTTCAGCGTCCGGCTCGCACCTCTGCCCGTCGCGCCCCGGGCAGCCCGACGGGCGGAGGGCAGGCATGGCTCCGTCTCGGGCAGCGCTGCGCGACGCACTCCTGCAGGGACCTCTCGGGAGGGGGCCTGGGACGGGAGAGCGTGCTCCAGCCTCGTCGACGCCTCGTGGCTTTGCTCTGGTCGCCGTCCTCCCCTGTCCTTCCCAAGGGCTTGCTGTTTCTCCAACTCGTGTTCCCTGCTCCTCCTCCTCCTCCTCCTCCTCCTCCTCCTCCTCCTCCTCCTCCTCCTCAAAAGTCGACCGCTGGACCTTTCCTGGGGTCAGTTCTGACCCGGGCTTTGAGGGGAACCCAGCCATGGCGACGACGACGCCCCAGGAGGCCCCCAAGTGTCCAACAACGTCCACACCCAAGTGTCCAACAACGTCCACAATCAGAAGCACGATCTCGATCTTCGGTATTGCCATCCGCTGCTTTCATCCGACCCCCTCCTCAGCACCTCGGCCTGGCAGGCAAGGCAGCCAGCTGCCATCTGTCGGCGCCTCCGGCGGCGCCCTGGCCTCAGCGGACCGAGGTCTCCTACGATCGCAACAGCAGTGCCGTCGCGAGTGGCTGGAAGCGCGCAGGTTCTCGGAGCGCACATGTTTCGTTCCGGCCAGGGCCACAGAAACCAGGACGTTGCAAACCACGATTTTCCAAGATCCAGCTAGGAGACAACGAGCAATAAAGAGCGTTTCGACACACGGCTGCAGATTTCTCGGGTGTGCCAGTGTCGTGGTTGATTAAAGTCCCCATTTCTGGAGCCCTGATCCGAAAACAAACTCGTCTTCGAGGAACCCATAGGTCGATATCTCGCCTCTGAGCGGAGGCTGGCGGAAGGCGGCCGAAGCAAAACGGGAGCGGTTCCGCCAGCGGAAGCCAGCGGAAGTACACGTGCGACCCCAAGTGGTGTCAATGTGTTTGAGTTCGGGGTCTCCAGAGCCGGCCACAAGTCTCCATTTTTGAGAGAACCCATGCATTCGTGTCTTGCCCATTGCTCTGAAGGCGTTGCGGCCCGAGGCCGTTGCTCATTTGCCATGCCGTGCGACCTTGGTGTCGAGTAAGAATGGAGGCCTTGCATGAGGTAAGCATTGGGAGCAGCTCGGGCCAGATCGAGCTAGACGGAGGTTAGGAGTTGGGGGACGCGGGTGGTGGTGGAGGAGGAGGAGGGGGAGGAGGAGGAAGAGGAGAAGCAGGAGAGGAGGAGGAGGAGGAGGAGGAGGAGGAGGAGGAGGAGGAGGAGGAGGAGGAGAGGAGGGGGAGGAGAAGGGGCGGGATGGTCACCGGTAACCGCTACAACATCCTTTCAGTGTGGCCCTGAGCGGGGTCCGTAGGAAAGCCTAGGTAGCGGCCACTAAGAACCCCATGCAGTGCCCGTTTTTCGCCTGCCCTCTTCGCCTTTTCCTCCCCCCCTCCTCCTCTCCTCAAGCCCTGTCTGGGCATTGGGTCAAGCCCTGTCTGGGCATTGGCTGACCAAGGTCAGCGCTAACCTCCCTCCACCCTCCTCCCTCCCCTCCCGCCGAGAGAGAGAGAGAGAGCGCGAGCGAGCCTCCGCCGCCTCTTCCTCCTCCTCCTCCTCCTCTTCCTCCTCCTCCTCCTCCTCCTCCTCCTCCTCCTCCTCCTCCTCCTCCTCTTCCTCCTCCTCCTCCTCCTCCTCCTCCTCCTCCTCCTCCTCTGGAAAGTGCCTGGGCGCCAGCGTGCGAGTGGGCCCCGCGGGCCAGTGCGATGCACGCTCCTGGGCGCGGGCGCCGCGTCGTGGCTCGCGGGGCAGGGATCGGCGCTCCTGCGGCTGCGGGGTGGAGGAAGGGGTGGGATGAGGCCGACGAGGGGAAAGAGAAGCAGGAGGATGTGGACAGGGAGCAGCAGGAGCAGGAGGCGGACGAGGGAAGCGGACGGGGACGGGGAGGAGGAGAGGCCCCAGGGAGGACGAGGACGACGACGCCGACAAGGAGGACAGGGACGATAACGCAGGAGGGGTAGGAGGTGGAGCAGGCGAAAAAGGAGAGGAGCAGGAGGAGGAGGCGAAGGAGGAGGAGGAGGAGGAGGAGGCGAGGAGAGGAGAAGGAGGAGGAGGAGGAGGACAGAGACGAGGATAAGAATGAGGAGCAGGAGGAGGAGGAGGAGGAGATGGAGGACGACGACGACGAGGAAGGGGGCAGGGACGGGGCTTCGGATGGGGACGTGCAGGAGGAGGAGAGGAGGAGGAGGAGGAGGAGAGGAGGAGGAGGAGGAGGAGGAGTGGGAAGGAAAACGAGAATGAGAATGAAGAGGAAGAGGGAGAGGAGGGGAACGAGGAGCAGGATGGTGTAGGAGGAGGAGCGTGCGTGGGGAAGGATGGAGGGGACGGGGACAAGGAGGAAGAGGAGGAGGACGACGATGACGACGACGACTATAGGAACGACGAGAAAGAGCAGCGGCAGAAGGAGGATAGGGGCTTGCCTCATCTTCTTCTTGCATGATCCTGCCTCCTCCTCCTCCTCCTCCTCCTCCTCCTCCTCCTCCTCCTCCTCCTCCTCCTTCATAGTCTCAGACTCTTCTGGGTACACCCCTCCCTCGCCTCCTCCTCCTCCTCTTCCTTCTCCTTCTCCTCCTCCTCCTTCATAGTCTCAGGCTCTTCTGGGTGCACCCTTCCTCCGCCTCCCTTCCTCCGCCTCCTCCTCCTCTTCCTTCTCCTTCTCCTCCTAGCCCTCTCGGCCCGAGAGGCTGCTCGGGCGTTGTGCGTCGCGCACGCCGAGGCAGCCCGGCGGCGCAGAGCCAATAGCAAGGAGGGCGGCGTCTGCATGCATTCTCAACCATCCTGTGGTGTTGGGTCCTCGTTCTGAAGAGACGGTGCCCCGCGTCTCTCCTCCTTCCTTCCTCCTCCTCCCCCTCCTCCCTCCTCCCTCCTCCCTCCTCCCTCCTCCGCCCCATAGGGAGCTCCACCGAATGCGTTGCTCACGAAGACGGTACTCACAACTGCATATGGTTGGGTCCTTCGCAAGGCTAATTGTATTTTCGTGCCGGCCTCGCTAATCAGTGTCGACCTCGGCTTCGCAGAATCGTTTGGCGGCTCGTCAGTTCTTCTTGACGATGGCTGCCGAGCAGTGCGCGGACCTGGCCAAGGAGGCGAATAGCAGCCGGACGGAGACGCCGTGCAAGAAGCACAAGCTCCCGCCGCAGCGCACACCACCGAGGCGAGCCCGTGCAGTGGATGGGAGCGAGGTGGGAGGACTACCCAGGTGGCGACGCCTCGGCGGACTTCGAGGCGGCGGCGAGACCCATCCCGGTGCCGAAGCGCATGCCCAATGCGCACAAGGCGTCGCTGACGGCCCTTCTACAGGGCAACGGTGGCGCTGGGTGGGCCTCGAATGGACCGCAGCCGAGGTCGAAGGACCAGAAGAAGGAGTCCCACCTGACCGCAGGATCGGAACCGGCCGCGATATTGCGCCAGGTGCCCACGGAGACCGCCAGGCGGCACAACAGGATGAAGTTCGAGCTGGGGAAGGAAAAGAAGCGCGTCTCGTCCGATCCCTCGCGGGCGCAGTCCATCAAGAAGCACTATCAGGATATGAGCCTGGAACTGCTGCTCGACTGAAACCTCGAGCTAGCTTGGCCTTCCATGGCGGAGGCGATGATGAACGTTGCGGAGCAGGAGGCGCAGCTGAGCTCATGGGATGTTGGCCAACAGCAGGGGAAGGAAGCCAAGGCCCAGGATGAGGAGGACACGAAGGAGGTGCTCGCGGCCGCGACGCAAGATGACAAGGATACGCCGCACTACTATGGCCAGAAAGAGGAGGACCCCGAGGATGGGTTGAAAGACGAGCACGCGGAGCGGGTGCCCTGGAGGCCTTCACCGCAGGAGCTGCGCATCCTGGCGCGCTCGGTGGGGAGGACACCAACAAGAAAAAACGTGTCCCTTGGAGGACGCCGAAGGCTCAGGTCAAGCATTGCGTGGTGAAGTGGCGGCGCAAGGGTTGCACTTTCACGAACTTCGGCCTCCGCAGCATCTGCGCATGGTGCGGCAGCAGGGCCCCGAGCTAGACGCTGATGCAGCAGCAGAAGCAGAGAGCGGAGTTGGACGCGACCCCCGCGGAAGCCATGAAGGAGGCCAGCGCCCTGCAGGCGGCGGAGGACTCGCAGGTGGCAGGCCTTACTGCTGGCAAGAAGGAGAGGGGAGAGCAGCTCGCAGCCCATGGCGGGGACGTCACCGCGGTCGAGCTCCTGGCCGTTGAGGGGAGGCGTCATGCAGGAGCAGCTGGAGCAGAGGTAGGATCTGAATGCGAACGTCGCGGACGCCCTGAACGAACAGAGATCAACGCAGGCGGCGGAGAGCGCGCAGGCGGCGGATTCGACTAGGAGCAAGTAGGAGCAGACCGACTCGACGGCAGCGCAGACCACGGAGGTGAAGGCGCGGGGATGGAGCCGGAAGAGAACAATCTCAATATGTGGCATGTTGACGACATTGGTTTTCAGGATTTCAGTGGCGCGGACGCGGTCAACATCGCTGAGGGCGAAAGGCCAAGCCGCGTGAAAGCCTATGACAAGGGCGGGGGCAAGAGCAACGTCAGGACCAGTCGGGCTCTGCTGGCCCCTCGCACCTGCCAGGGTCTAGCATCACCACGGTCGAGCTGGTGGCCCTGGCGAGGAGGCGTCACGCATACTACCTCCTAGACGCCAGTGGTGCGCCCATGGAGCAGGTCACCCGAGATCTGCGCCAAGTAGCTGAGGGAGATCGGCGTGCTGGAGTCTGACGGCCCGCTTCTGAGGCCACACGGCGTGCAGGTGTGGCCGCTCCTCGCTGGCTTGCCCCCCTCGCCACGGCTTGGGCTAGCTCGAACTTTTTGTTGCCATTGGGCGGCCTGCCTGGGAGTCTCGTCGCTGCGCTGGAGTCCCTTCGCCTGGCTGGGCATAGTCTCGGCAGCACGTGCCTCGGCGTAGGCCCGAGGTGTTCGCCGTGTGTGGCAGTCCCTGGAGAGTTGGGCGAGTCCTCGGCACCCTCCTCCTCCTCCTCCTCCTCCTCCTCCTCCTTTGTCCTCCTCCTTTCCTCACCATTACCATCACTATCGTCATCTCATTGCCTGTCCGGTAGCTAATATGTTATCATTATCGTCATACCATCATCGTCGAACGCAGATGATGGCACGGTGGTGGGCCCCCGCCACCGTACGATAAACAGCGTTCGATGTGTGCGAGCATTCTAGATGTTCTCCTTTTCTGTAAGGCTAGTTTTCGGAGGGTTCCATTCTGTCCCTCCTTGAATTTTCAAGAGCCCGTATTCGAATACACTGTAGGCGCTACCCCAAGTTTCAGACCGCCTGGCCAAGCAGCCACGCTTGCGAGGTGGCTGTTGCTCCTGAGGCGTGGCCGTCGATCTGGCGACACTGAAGGAGATGGTTGCCGATCACCTTCTCGTGGCAGGACAGATGCTCGTAATAAGGTCCCGGGTATCATTGCCCCTGTTACCGTGCGGTCTCCTTTCCGCATGCGCGCCGCAGGGTTTTCGATTAAGTCTACTAGGCTGCTTGCTTTGTTGGGACTATATCGTTTTTGCCTTCGCTAAGATTGTGCCCCTGTGGCTGCTCACCTGCTGCCTTTGCTCTTTTCCGCTGGCGCTGCTGCTGTGCGCCTTGTCCTGCGTGTCCCTCTTCTGCTGCTCCGCTGTGTTGGTGCCGGTAGTTGTGTGTTACCGCGTTCGGTTGGGACCTTCGCTCGGTCCTTGACGGCCCGCTGTCGCCACGTAGGAGCGTCATTTTCTGTCTCTGCGTTCTGTTTGCCTTCTCTATGTTGTGTGTTTGCACTGGCCTGCTCTCTCGCCCTTTTTGCATCGCGCCCCCGCGGCGCCGCCACGAGTGTATTTTCGGCGGGTTCCCCGAGAACTTCCCTCGCTGCTTTGTCTTTCTGTCAGCGTAGGTAGGCAGATGTCCGCGGTCGCCTTTCGGCATTTTGGCACCTGCGGGCTGCCTGAAGCAGGTGCTGGCGGCAGAGCGCTTGTGGGGTTTTACTGAGCCACTGCTTCTCTGCGTTCCGTCCTGCGCGCCACAGGTTTTCACGAAAGTACTAGGGCTGCCGCCCCGACCCGACCCCTCCTCGGCCACAGGGGCTGTGAGGGCCTCCTCAGGTGTGGTCGCTCGCGCAGCTGCTGATCGTTTCCCTTTTCCCCGCCCTTCTCTGCACGGGCAGTAACTCGCACACTGGGCACGGATTTTGATGGTGAGTCCAGATTCTCGGTCTGTTAATTCGCATGCCGATGTATTGTTGAAGATTTTGCGTCATGGACGTTGGCATTTCATCATTACCACCAGTCCGCAGGAACAAGCCGTCATCATCATCCCATCACCAGCATCACCACCATCACCATCATCATCATCATCATCATCATCATCAGCAGCAGCATTATCAGCATCATCATCACCACCATCATCATCATCATTTGCATCATCATTACCATCATCATAATCATCAGCAGAAGCAGCACCATCGCCATCATCATCAGCAGCAGCAGCATCATCATCGGCAGCAGCAGCATCATCGCCATCATCATCATCATCATCATCAGCAGCAGCATCATCATCGGCAGCAGCAGCATCATCGCCATCATCATCACCATCACCATCATCATCATCCTCCTCCTCATCATCATCACCATCATCATCATCATCATCATCATCATCATAATCATCATCATCATCATCATCATCATCATCATGTTTGCCTTGAGGCCAGTCTTTGGATACCCTTGGCGCGTCCTGGGCCGCCTCAGCGCCAAAAGGGCGGGAGCCATAAATCAGTCGAACATGGTTTGCTAATTTACGATGAATCTGACATTGTGGGCCGGCCTTGGGGCCTCCCAGGCGATGCGAAAGACCCCGAAGACGTCCTCAGGGTGGCCCCCTGGCCTTCCTGGGACGCAGTCAGGGCTTGAATCCCCGGATCCTGCCAATGATGCGTTGCGAAGATTCATTTACAATCTGAGGGGGCTCAGCGACGTGTCTTCGTGGGGGACTTCGTCGCCACGGTTTGATGATCCTCGACATCCTGGTCAGAAAGCCCTTCCAGACAGGTCTGGATGGGGGGAGTTTGAGGAGAGACGGAGGCGGATGAGCAGCAGCAGCAGGAGTAAAACGGCATGGCGGCGTATGATGTTTTTCGGATTGCCATTCATGCTCGGCGTCGCGATCTCACGCTCGGACTTAGCCTGGAATACTCGCCGAGGTCTTCGGCGTGATGGTCGCACTGGTGATTCTGCAGTGGAGGCACGGGCTCCCGTGTCAGCAGTGATTGGCTCAGGATATTCGGATCGTTTGAGTCCAATGAGTTGCCCGATGTCCGATTCCAAGCGCGAGCCGATGCCACTTGCGATAGCGGTTCACGGCTGCATAGTTTTTGATGTTGTTCCAGAGACGTACGCCGATCCGCCGACCCCCAGGGAAACATTTGACAGACTGGTAAGAAAAAACAGGAGAGGAGAAAAACGTGGAGGGGCAGGACGGCGAGGAGCAGGATGATTTTTGTTCGGGGCATCTGGATGGCTGTGGGGGGTTGGTTGGAGGCGTTTGGGGGCGTGTCTTGAGTGCCGTTGGGGGGGGCTCTTGGGGGCCTCTGGGAGCCTCTTGGGGGTGCCTCGGGGGCTTCGGGGGGCTCTTGGAGCCACCTTGGAGTGAAAGTGCCTCTTAAAGCGATCTTGGGCGGCTTCTGAGCCGTCTTAGGGCCCTCTTGGGCCGTCTTGAGGCCTTCTTGAGAGCCTCATCGTCCGTCTGGGGACGATCTTGGGGGCCTGCTGAATTGTTTTGTAAGATGTCAAGACGAACAAGGCGAGCAGGCCAAACATGTAAGCTTCCCAATGGGAATGGGACAACGTTTGCTTCTTTGGGCCTCCCCGGCGGTCCTTTGGGAAAACATTTAGGCCTTCTTGGAAGCCCCGTGGGCCGTTTCGAAGCCATCTTTGACCGTCGTGGGGTTACAGGAGGCCGTCTCGACACTCTCTGGGAGTGCCTTGGCGCTCTGCTTGGGCTCTCTTGGGCAATCGTAGGGTTTGTCGGAGGCTCCAGAGACCCCAGGGATGCGCTGACCAGCTCGTCCCCCTCCCCCCGTCCTTCCCCCTGCTCCCCACCCCTTGAAACGGGATTTGGGGACCTTGGGGGAGGGGGGGGGGGAAGGGGGAGCGGGGACAGCCAAGTGTCTCACGCGCCGTTGCACCCCTGGCAAGCGGGGGTCGGCGGACCCCCCCAAACAGTGCTTGCACTCAGGCTGTCGCATTCTTGCTCTAAGGGACTGGGCTCGTTTGGCGGTCCAGCGGCTACGTGGTAGCCGTCGACGCCGCGTCGCCGCTTCGTCGCCGCCCGTCGTCGGGGCCAGTGTGGCGGTCTGGCGGCTATGCTGTCGCCGTCGCCGCCTCGTCGCCGCCTCGTCGCCGCCCGCCGTTTCGGTGGCGGTCTGGCGGCTATGTTATCGCCGTCGCCGCCCCGTCGCCGCTTCGTCGCCGCCCGTCGTCTGGGCCAGTGTGGCGTTTTGGCGGCACTGTTGCCGCCGTCGCCATGCTGTCGCCGCCTCGTCCCCGTTCGTCGTCTGGGGATGGTGTGGCGGTCTGGCGGCTATCTTGTCGCCGTCGCCGTCGCCGTGCCGTCGCCACCGCATATAGATTGCACGACATGCGCTACACCACAAAGATCGCACAACATAGATTGCGCCACCGCCTGCTGGGCGCTAAAATGTGTTGAGTGGTTGCGGTTGCGCCTGCACTATGTCGCGAAGCTGAGCGCCTTGACGCCATCGGCCGAAAGACCCGTAACCCAAACCACGTACATTGTTTCACAGATGTTGCAGAGCATATTGCACTTCATATATCGCGCACTGCGTATACTGCACAAACTAGATTGCACCACCTAGATTGTTCCACGTAGATTGCACAACATGGCTTGCGCCACATAGATTGCACCACATAGATTGCACAACACGTATTGCACTACATTTCTTATTTAATATTTGTTCTCGTTTCTGTAAAAATACCAGGATCTACGTCCACCCACCCCAGACTTGATGGACCACCTTTTTGTTCACACTGTTTGTCGTATATGATTATGCGCACTCGTCCATCTTAAAAATGAGCTCAAACCATTACAGGCACCCCTTTTTATCGGCTCCCCCCTCATCCTCTGCAAAAAACTGTGCGCGCAGACTCGTTGATCAAAAAACGTCAATGTTCATGAACCCCTCGCAAGAAATTGGACGAGGTGCACACGCGCACGTCGTCGCGCGCGCATGCCGAAATGCCGCAAGGCTGTCAGAATCGAGCGTCACACAAGAATTTCGCAACAGCAATGCTCAAAAAATCCTACGCCCGCGCTCTTGCGAATTCTTCAGTAAACCAAAAGCTTTCAACATGTTCATCACATGCTACCAGACGTGCCTCTCGCGCGCGCGCATGTCGAAATCAATCGAACGCCCGTGCGCGCATGCTGTCGCAAGAATCACTTGCAGATAAAAGGGACGAAGTGCACGCGCGTTCGTCGTCGCGCGCGCATGCCGGAACCTGTCAAAAAATCAAAGTGTCGCATGGAATTCAAAATCGAGTGCCTCGAAAACATGTATCAGCCAGCGTTGACTCCAAATAGACTAGACGACTCGAATCAAGGAAGCAGAGGAACCAAGCATGCTTGGAACCCGCAACTCAGCAAGCAAGCAAGCAAGCAAGCAAGCAAGCAGGCATAGGCATAGGCGTAAGATAGGAGTTAGGGGGAGGCATAGGCATAGCCATAGGAACTAGGGGGTGGCATAGGAACTAGGGGGGGCAACGGACCAATTAGTAAGGCTTGAGCTAGGACTCCTATAGGGCAAGCCTATTTGGAGAATCAACAAAAACCAACGGTGTTGCAAAATCCGTTTTCCCAATAATGAAATTTTAAAAAGGTGTGCGCGCGCCCTTGCGAATTCTTAAGACAGCCATGGGTTCGTCAACATGTTCATCACATTCGACCAGACGAGCCTCTCGCGCCGCACGAACGAGCCCTTGCGCGCGTGCTGGAGGGGGGCAGGGTCTTTGCCAAGTAGTACTATGCGGGCCACTCGCGCGCGTCGACCGCGCGCGCATGTCGAACAGTTTTCAAAACCTTCACCACCGACGCGCGGACACCTTCATCTTCATCGTCGTGGTCAGCATCGGTGCCCGCACTGGCCGCGCCGTCGTCGCTGTCACCATCGTCACCAGCACCGCTACCATCATCATCGCGTCTACCGTTGTCGGTGTCATCATGATACCGCGCCCGCCCGGTTCACCGACTCGCACTGAAGGGTTTCTTGGGAAGTGCCCAGCGGTCAGCGCCACCGCGGCCGCGCAATTCGCGCGAAATTAGCTGGTTAGCTGGCCGCTGCGTTCGCGAGCATGCGCTGGCTAGCGCGGCCGCGGAGATGCACCAAACGGGCCTCTCGCGCGCGCGCGCGTCGGAATCGCTTTGACGCCCCTTGCGCGCGCGGCGCCGCAAGAACCCCCTTGGCGAAACAAATGAGACCAAGTCTGCGCGCGCGTCGCCGCGCGCGCATGCCAAAATCCGTCAAAAGCCGCGCTTTCCGCGGGGAGTTCAACATCGAGCGCTCCGAATACATATTTATGACCCCAAACATATAGATATCGATATACATATATATATATATATATATATATATATATATATGTATACATTTACATATACACACACCTATATATATATATATATATATATATTATATATATATATATATATATCAGAGTGAGGGGGCCGAACGGTCATTCACTGTCCCTGAGTGCGTGGCTGAAGTGGAATTCCGCGGTGCGGATTCTCGTTGTTGTTGTTGTTGTTGTTGTTTTGTTGTTGTTGTTGTTGTTGTTGTTGTTGTTGTTGTTGTTGTCGTCGTCCCCCCGCAACCCGCCCCGCGACCCACCCGCGACCCACCCCGCGACCCACCCGCGACCCACCCGCGACCCACCCGCGACCCACCCGCGACCCACCCCGCGACCCACCCCGCGACCCACCCCGCGACCCACCCCGACCCACCCGCGACCCACCCCGCGACCCGCCCGCGGCCCACCCCGCGACCCACCCGCGACCCACCCGCGACCCACCCGCGACCCACCCGCGACCCACCCGCGACCTACCCCGCGACCCACCCGCGACCCAAGCCACGTTCAAGGTACAAACCACCATTTTCGGCGCCTGCGGCGGGTTTTTTTTTGCATTCCTTCCAGGTTGAGAGCCCGCGACCAACCCCGTGACCAACTCGCGAGCAACCCGCGACCCAAACCACGTTCAGGGTACAAACCACATTTTTCGGCGCCTGCGGCGGGCATCTTTTGCATTCGTTTCAGGTGGAGAGCCCGCGGCCCACCCGCGACCACGTTCAGGGTACAAACCATATTTTTCGACGCCTGCGGCGGGCATCTTTTGCATTCGTTTCAGGTGGAGAACCCGCGGCCCACCCGCGACCCAAACCACGTTCAGTGTACAAACCATTTTTTTTGGCGCATGCGGCGGGCTGCTTTTGCATTCCTTCCAGGTGGAGGTGGAGAGCCCGCGACCCACCCGCGACCTAAACCACGTTCACTGAACAAACCAATGCCGCACAAGCGCGGCGGCGGATTTTTGCATGCCGCCTGAGCCCGCGTGGACCTCTTCAAGCCCCGCGCATCCACACCAGCCCGTCCAGCAACTCTGCCCTGGCGAGTTGCCTTAATCAAAGAAGGCGGGGAGCATAAAGTGGAAAAGGGATTGCGTTGCAGTTACCTTGGGAAAGGAGGGGGAGGCAGGAGGAGTAAACAGGGGACGAGGAGAACGCGGAAGAAGAGACGATGTAAGGAGAATGTGGAGAAAGAAAAGGAGGAGGAGCAGGAGGACGAGGAGGGGGAGGAGGGGGAGGAGGAGGACGAGGAGGGGGAGGAGGGGGATGATGATGATGATGATGATGATGATGATGATGATGATGATGATGATGATGATGATGATGATGATGGACGACAATGGGAGGACGATGATGGAGGCCGATGAAGGGGAGGACGACAACGGGAGGACGATGATGAAAGGACGAGGGGGGGAGAGGGAGGACGAGGAAGAAGAGGAGGGGGAGGAGGACGAGGTGGAGGAGGAGGATGACGATGACGATGAGGACGAGGAAGAGGAAGAGGAGGAGGAGGAGGAGGACAGCGCCATTGACAGGGAAGGTGGGGGCCACGAGGTCCGCCGGCTCGACGACGCCCGCGTCGCCCGCGCCCGCCCCCTCACTCTTATCCGCAATTGCGGGGTGCTAC